CCGCAATCTCACCCGCAAGTCGAGCCTTCTCGGCTTCAACCATTTCTAGCTCTTTCTTCATAGCTTCAATAGCCAAGTCACGATCCGCTATAGCCTACATACCGCATCCCTCAAGAGCCTCTGCAAGATGGTGGCTCTACAAAGACAAAACTCAACAAGGTTACAAACACACAAGAAAGATGCAAAGAAGAAAGAGATGACAAAGACAATACGTACCACACACTGCTGCTCCAAGTTGTACCGCAACAACTTGAAATAGTCCACATGTTTAAGATGGTGGCAAAGACGACCTAGTAACAAACAAAATGTAAGAGGAGTAAGATAAAAAACAAGAAGTACAAACTTAAAAAGCAACCTTCAATATCGTTGTAAAGAGCTTCAAGGCATTCCGCTCACCCGCTTATTGTGTTGTCAGAAGCCGCTACAACACAAGAAAAGAGTTAGGGAAAAAGCTCAGGCAAAATAGGGGAACACGAAAAAGAAAGAGAGATAAAAAAAGAAAATAGACCTTCGCCACCAGCCTGACCATGGCCCGAAGGGCCAGGATTCCTCTCGAGAAGCGGAGGTTGTGGAGAAGCATCTAGGCCGATGCGAGCGAGATCCTAATCTGCAGGCTCTGTAGCATCCCCTATAGCCTTTGTCAGGTCACCTAAAATACAAAAAATAAGTCCCGAGCAAAACAAAAGAAAAATAGCAAGTCAAGGAAAGACAAATGGCCACTCACTCAAGTACAAAGCACCTTGACCAGCACCCGCAAGGGCATTCTCATCAAAACGGCACGCCCGTGATTGGTGACGCTTATGTGCCGAGAGCTCACTGACAATGGGAGAGCGCCTCGACGCAGCGTCCTGGACACCTCCAAGCAGGGACCTCCGTAGGGACGATGGGGGCCCGCATCTCTGACCTTTCTCCCCAAGACAGTGAGGCATCACCATCCCCACCCTTAGAACTAGATGACTCATCGCCCAGTACTCTAGGCATAGGTGCCACGGCGGAGGCTTCAGCGGTAAAGCACCAGTCATCCCTTGGAGGGTAGTCGGGATGAAGTCATCACCACCAAGATAAGTGGAGGTGGCAGAATGCTCGCCTTCCATGCTAGCAGCTGCTGAAGCAGAACCTCCACCAACATTCTATGCCACCTCCTCCCTAAACTCATGGAGGCAAGTGGCACAAGTAGTCAAGTCCTTTGTCTCTTCTTGATCGTTTTTTGAAACGCCAGTTCCTTCCTCTTCTTCACCTCCATTTGCAGTTAGTTGTGTTCTTAGCAGTGGCTTTCTTCGCCTTCTCCTCAAGCAACTTTAGAACCTTCAGAGGAACTATGTGTTCTTCGTGATGCATCCCCAACTCTTCAAACACACGGTCAAGATGGGGCATTGAACCCCCAATGGCCCTTCGCACCAAATACTCTTTGTCTAACATCTCACTGAGAATGTCACGCGCTCCTTCTTCAACGACCGTGACATATTCATCAGCCATTATGTCCTCCGCCTGCTTTACATCAAAGCAAGGAAACAGAACACCATCCCCATCGCCAAAAACTGGCAAACTAACCATTTCGATACTCATCGCTGGCCTATTCCGTCCTAACGGCCAACACTTCGATGCCACCATTTCCTCCACTAGATCACGGCCTCTGGAGTAACGGCAGGCTAAAGTGAAGCTCTTGTCGCAGGCCTCACATCCCTCAATGACCTCTGGTCCAGGAGTCCCTTGGGTCGAAGGCTTCATCGGAGTCATAACCAAAGCCAACGGATGCCGAGTGTGTTTTTTTCCTTCACTATCCATAGAGGTCATGCCATTGGTCCTAACATAGAACCAATACTGCATCCAGTCTTTATTCCACTTATTCATCTGGGCAAAAGAAATCTCCAATCTATCGCCCTTCTGTTGCCGTTGAAGCTCATAGTACTCACAAAATGTGCCAATATATATGTGGCTCCGCACCATAGAACAGGCAAGCCTAGCAAAACTTACTCAAAGTAAGAATACCATTCAGAGTGAGATGGTGTAGTTGTACCTCAAAAGCTCCAGAACATGGCGAAGGAACCGTGCGGCAGGGAAGCGAAGGCCGCAGGCAAAGAAATCACGAAAAACGACGGCATCAGTAGCCTGCGGCTTAAGCACCGTCTCATCCTGCGGAAGCTTCGCCTTCCCAGCACCAAAACAGCCCTCCTTCTCCAAAACCTCGACCATATCCTTCGTCATCAATGAAGGCCCAAAAATCACATGTCCTGCCCGCGCCGGACATGTCTTCTGCTTCTTGGGTGGTGATTAGGTCACCAACGGAGGCTTCGACGCTAGCAAGATCCTCCTCCAAAACTTAATAGCCTCCGCACTAGCCAGCATACACTCCTCAAAGCGCTGGGACCAACCGCTAGCCCTAACACCGAGGAGGCGGGAGTACGGACTGAAGATGGTGGCCCGACGAGGAGGGGGGCTAACAGTAGAAGCCACTTCTTAGACTCTAAAAAGATCAACAGAGAAACGAAGGCAAAGCGCAACTAAGCGAAGGCCAAACTCGAAAGGGGGCTTAGAAAGCGAAAGGTTTGAAAGCGATAGCTCAGGTGACGCGGATGGGGGCCTTCACCTACCCCTCCCTTATATAGGCCATGAACCGATGCTCCAACTTCTACGCCCAACGGTCACATCCGTTCAACAACGCGCCAGTTCCAGAGCCACCGCAACCAATAAAAAAGTAACACATCAAGGCCATAATGGTCTGATCCAGGCGACCTAGGAGGGAAAGGGTGGAAGCCTCCGCGACTCAATATCAACGGTAAAATTGAGGCTCATGGCGTGCTCGCATCAGACATACCCTCAAGGGGGAAACTGTTGGGACATAGACGTATGAGTAGCAAAGGCTCCTACATAGCAACAACTGTCCGCATGTTTTCTTGGCACACGGGTATAATGGAAGGAGCCTTCGGATATGACCATCTGCATGACGCAGGTCGAAACGCAGGAGCACCAAGGGAAGCCTTCGCCTCTGATCACCGGTGAGGCGGAGGTCTAGGCACGGACTCTGAAGGTACCTGGAAGTGCTCCTTGGCGGAGGTCGACCATAGGCGGAGGCTCCAGCAATCTGGGCAGAGGACCTGTGGTCCCGGCCCGAACGAAGGGAGCTCTTACAGTGCCACGGCCCAAAGTCAGAAATGGGCCTCCTATGGGCCTAATGGTGAGGCCCGAATGGCAAAGGCGATGCGAGAGGAAAAGACCCAGAATGCCCCTGAAGATTTGAACTGGTCCGGGGATATTCTAGGAATGTACCCAAGCTAGCATAGGGCAAAGATGTACAATGAAATAGTAGCAAACAGTGTCCTATAAAAGGGGCAGCCCAACCCTATGGAGGGGAGGTTGGTGAATGCATTTATGGAACCCTAATTGAGCCTGGGCCCACCTACCACCTTCCTAAATCTTCGCCCAGGGCACCCGGCTGGGCAAAGGTTCCTCTGTGTCCCACCTGCTGGAAACCTGGTTTTCCAACAATCAGGAAGATCATTGCTATTGACTCCAAGGTTTTGCATGCCATTAACATACACTCCTTGTTGTCATACGAGCACCGCAATAATTCCCATGACTAGGCCAATGCATGCTGAAGAGTAACAGCAAAAATGTTTTCGGGGTGCATTTATCAAACACCGAGTCATTATAAGCCACATTGCCCAACACAGAGCTACAACTCCTATAAGTATCTTGATTGTGCTTAGTGCCACCTATTTTTGACCAACGGTTAAACTTGTACAACAATTTCATAAAAGCCATTGAGGTGATTTGTAGTATCTTAAGTGTGACACCCTAAGCTATACATGTTTAAGTTAAGAAAATCATGCAAACGTGATTTAATGAGCTTTCATTAAACAAGCTTAACATGTGAAACTACAATTATTCATTTAACCCTATGTGTGCTACTTATTAAGCTCATAATATGATATGTTTAGTTTACCATGATAACTAACTAGATCGACATCCACTTTGTTTGCTAGAAGGTAGCTTTGGGTCAAGTGCACGTGCTTCATGTCCTATCATTCCACCACTTCATGGATTATGACCAAAGACTTACAGGTATAGTTGTTTAGATTTTAGGTCTAGTCTTTGCGTTTGTGACTCCCAATTTGACTGCAGACAAGCCTAAGAGATATGTTAATGTGTTGTGCACATGTTGTGTAACATAAGTCGTCTTTGTTAATTGGCATGAAAATAGACAAATTAACTAAAGAGTACATATAGGATTCTTCCAACTTACCCCTCGGATCCTCTTAGAAACTTGAAGTGGCTCACACGGCATAAAAGTTGCACACAATGAGGCACTGCAGGAGAATGAATGGTGCAGACAACAAAGATACGACATCCTTGCCTTGCGCTTTAGTGCCTAATGAAATCTTTAACCTTTACCTTTACAAAAAAAAACCTGCAGTGACTAGAGCTAGCTGCAAGCAAAGAACAATTCTGAGGACCACAGACAAACAAAGAAAACGCACTGCTAGTAGTACTACTGGACCGACATGCACATACATTTGCCAAACACCAAAGTTTATCTCTGTGGCACCGCCTGCTTATTTGTTTCGATCTAACTTGTAGCTGCATACATTTTCTCTGAGACATCTCCCTGTCTCCTTTTCATTGGTGGATTTGTTTATTCAGCTTCTCTCGTATCCTACTTGTGCCAATTGAACTGAACAGAGGTATGCAAATAAATGCTGTGCAGATATAAGTTTTCAATGTATATATATATGTAGCTTGCATTCACAAAAGTTCTATATAATTCATGCAACTCTGGATAGTATATATTAATCACTCCTTGCTGTATGGTTGTGTTGATCAGAGAAGCCGAGAGACCAACCAAATGGGTTAGATCCGCAGTTGAAACGGATCCTGTTCCACTCGAAATGGATATATCATAATCATTTATGATCTGAAGATCTAGTACATGCACCGTAGAGACTGCTCCAGAGTCAACATAATCACCTGACGGCCCGGTTAATAATCCAGTACAGTCCATCATGCGTTCTGAGGTAAACCTGCTAGCATTAACAATGAAGTTCTTTTAAGTTCTTGCTAATAATTAATCCAATGCAGTCAATCAAGCATACTGAAGATAATAAACGCATTGGTTGCAGGTTATCACGGCGTGCACCATCGATAGTGCTGTGGAACGAATCCTGGAAGAACTGAAGGACATTGGTGGTACCAGCAGCGGCAGGCAGCACAACATCATCTACTTCGACGGTTGGGATGGGCTGGGGGCATCCGCCGTCCTCCGAGAAGTGGGCCGCCGTCTTGCTCCAGCAGCTTCAGAAGAGAAGAAACCAGCACTGGGCAGCGGTCTCGAGTTCAAGCTAATCATCAACCTCGACTGCTCCAAGTGGGAGAGCAGGAGAGCGTTGTTGCAGAGAGGTCTCTCGCAGAAGCTACAGCTTCCTCCTCCAGTGATGAACATGTTCGATGTGTTAGAGATTGTAAACGTGTTATACTAGAGTTGTAACCGAACATATCTCATAGATAGATGGACTCCTGTAGTTTGCTATAGATAGAATAGAACTTAAGTTAGGAGTCATAGTTTAAACTATCTATATCTGTAATTCTTGTTCTATATATATAAACATGCAACCTATGGTGAGCCAAGATAGGCAACCATAGTTACCCCATAATCTTTCATGGTAATCAGAGCCGCCTCTTCCTAGAATAGATCTAATAAAAAAAATCCCGTCAACACATCCTCACGACAAAGGGGGCGCGACGCTGCTCGTGACGCTCCTCCCCGCGACGCGCATAATGAAGGCGCAACTCAAGATTGTGACGCTCCTCCTACACGACAAACAAGATGTCGTCGTCTTCTTTCTCATGATGGAAGGCACCAATCCTCTCCTTTCGGACATCCGGTGTTGGACAAGCTTACAGGATAACTTTGTCTGTGGAAAACTCAGTTCACTGCTTTGTTCGAGGCGCCAAGGCGCTTGGGATCCTGGATGGAACTATCCCCGAGCCGCGACAAGTACTTGAAGCTGAAGTCGACGGCAAGAAGAAGGAAATTCCCAACCCGAGCATGACTCATGGGTGGAAAAAGATCAATGACTACTCAGCTACTGGTGAATTCGGTCTCCAAGGAGGTCCTTGCCGGGATCACAGCGCAACAACCTCTGCGCAGCATGGAAGGCGTTAGGGGCTATGTTTGCAGTCGTGATCCCGGCGAGGACCTCCTTGAGACCGAATTCACCTGTAGCTGAGTAGTTGATCTTTTTCCACCCATGAGTCATGCTCGGGTTGGGAATTTCTTCTTCTTGCGGGCCGACTTCAGCTTCAAGTACTTGTCATGCTCGGGATAGTTCCATCCAGATCCCAAGCGCTTTGGCGCCTAACAAAGCAGTGCAGAACTCGAGTTTTCCACAGGACAAAGTTATCCCTTGTAAGCTTGTCCAACACCGGATGTCCGAAAGGAGAGGATTGGTGCCTTCCATCATGAGAAGAAGATGACGACATGAAGAAGGAAATTCCCAACCCAGAGCATGACTCATGGGTGGAAAAAGATCAACAGCTACTCAGCTACCTGGTGAATTCGGTCTCCAAGGAGGTCCTCGTCGGGATCACGACTGCAAACATAGCCCCTAATGCCTTCCATGCCTGCGCAGAGGTTGTTGCAGTCGTGATGCCGGCGAGGACCTCCTTGGAGACCGAATTCACCAGGTAGCTGAGTAGCTGTTGATCTTTTTCCACCCAAGGCGTTAGGGGCTATGTTTGCAGGACAATCAAGAGCGCGGATTACAAATCTGCGCATGCAATTGGCCACCACCAAGAAGGGCAGTCTTACCACGTCAGACTATTTCAACAAGATGCAAAACATCAAGGATGAGCTCGCGTTAGCCGGCGTCGTCATCAACGATGATGAGGTGGTTGCTCACCTACTTAATGGTTTAGATTATGATTATCACCCCTTTGTTTCCTCTATGATGGGCCGGTCAGGAGACCTTTCACTTTCTGAATTATATTCGTTACTTATGGAGTACGATCTTTGGCTCGAGATGTATCAAGGAACCGATCAATTTCAGTCTTCAGCTAATATGGCATCCCGTGGTCGTGGAAGCCGTAGTCGCTCTGGTGGTCGACGTGGAGGTCGATCCAATTCAGGGCGTAATGGACAAAACAGTAATCAGAATTTCACCAGTAATACTCAAGGCAATAGCTCGCAAGGCACAAAGAAGGTGCCGTGTCAAATCTGCAAGAAGACAAATCATGAAGCAAATCAATGCTATTTTCGCTATGAGGAAGACAACCAGTACCGTGGGCGGCCAGCAGGAGCTTATGGTGTTGATACAAATTGGTATGTGGACAGCGGGGCCACTAACCATATCACCGGCGAACTTGACAAGATGATCGTCCGTGATAAATATAGTGGCAATGAACAAGTTCATAACGCCAGCGGCAAAGGTATGAGTATTAGTAATATTGGGCATACAGTCTTTCATACCCCTTCCAGTAAACTTTATTTGAACAATATTCTTCATGTGCCCTCTTACGCCAAAAGCCTTATTTCAGTTCATAAACTTGCCAAAGATAACAATGCTTTTCTTGAATTTCACCCCGATTTCTTTTCGTTAAGGATCAGAAACGAAGAGGACTTTACATCACGGTAGATGCAAAGGTGGCTCTGTATCCTCTCATTCCATCGAAGAAGAAAAAATAGAGTCAAAGCATGAAGTTTTTGGAGTCCATGTCCCTTCTACATCATTATGGCATAGTCGTCTCTAGGTCATCCTGCTACTCCCATAGTTCGGAAGATCCTTAGCTCAAATAAATTGCCGTGTGCTAGTTCCAAGAATGTTGAGTCAATTTGTGATTCGTGTCAAAGGGCCAAGAGCCATCAAGCGCCTTTATACATTTCCAATAAAATTTCTAGTGCTCCTCTTGATCTGATTTATTCTGATGTGTGGGGGCCTGCACCCATCTCTGTTGGGCGTTATAGCTATTATGTTAGCTTCATTGACGACTATAGCAAATACACTTGGATATATTTGTTGAAGCATAAATCTGATGTCTTTCGAATTTTCCAAGACTTTCAAAACTTAGTAGAAAGACAGTTCTCTAAGAAAATTCTTTGTGTTCAATCAGATTGGGGAGGCGAGTATGAAAAATTAAATTCCTTCTTCAAGCAAATTGGGATCACACACCGTGTGTCTTGTCCTCATGCTCATCAACAAAATGGTGCTGCTGAACGCAAACATAGACATATTGTTGAAGTTGGTTTAGCTCTCCTTGCTCATGCTTCCATGCCTTTAAAATTTTGGGATCAAGCTTTCCTTACAGCTACCTATCTCATTAATATTCTTCCCAGCAAGGCTATTGATTTTGAAATTCCTAGTACTCGCCTTTTTCATGATGCACCCGATTATAGCAATCTCCGTGTTTTTGGCTGCGCTTGTTGGCCCAATCTGCGGCCATATAATTCCAGGAAGTTATCTTTTCGATCCACTCAGTGTGCTTTCCTTGGCTATAGTTCCATGCACAAAGGTTTCAAGTGCCTTGATATCTCCACTGGACGCATTTACATCTCCCGTGATGTTGTTTTTGATGAAGCTGTGTTTCCCTTCTCAAAGCTCCATCCTAACGCCGGTCCCTCTCTTAGAAAAGAAATTGTCCTACTGCTTTCTTCCCTTCGAAATCCAGGGGATGATGACTGTGCTGCATCTGATATTACTAATACTATTGACGTACCTGTTGTTTCTAGTGAATCTTCAGAGAAAATTGCAGGTCCCATGCCTATGCTCCCAGCGCTACCGGCACAACGTGGCGCACATAGCCTGTGCTGCAGCTCCTGTGTGGAAACTATTTGTCTCCTCCCAGCTCGTCGAAGCGGTGTTGTTCGCATGCTACACCGCATGGGGAACAAGATCCATCCAGTACCGACCATTGTTCTTTGCACTGAAGACAACAAAGGCGGTGACAGGAGGGGGTAATGCGGTGGTGTCTAAGTCTCCATCATGGACGTTGCATGCGTCGAGGAGTCTCCACAGGACACCACTTGCATGCTATAGCATCAGTGCACATGCACCACCGCGAAGCTACTGACATCAGTGCACATGAATTTGCGCCGGATCTTCTACAACCTCTGGTTCTCCAAAGCAGACCACACACGATCCCCAGCGTCACCAAACACGGTTGCAAAGCGGTATTATCAAACCAAAGAAGCTATATGATGGTATGATTCGATATGGCATGTTTAGTGCTACTGGTGAACCTAATTCCGTTGATGAAGCTATTTCAGATTCAAAGTGGCGTGATGCAATGGAAGTGGAATTTCAAGGTCTAGATAAGAATAAAACTTGGCATCTCGTTCCAAGAAAAACTGGACAGAATGTTATTGATTGCAAATGGGTTTTCAAAATCAAACGAAAAGCCGATGGGAGTATTGATAGATACAAAGCTCGATTAGTTGCCAAGGGATTCAAGCAACGCTATGGCATCGACTATGAAGACACTTTCAGCCCAGTTGTCAAGATAGCTACTGATTAGATTGGTACTCTCTATTGCGGTGTCAAGGGATGGTGCCTCGAGACAACTTGATGTGCGTAAGCGCGTTCTTGCATGTGTGTTCGGAAGAGGAAGTTTATATGAAGCGACCTCCGGGTTTTGAGGATACTAAAACACCATGATATATATGTAAATTGGACAAGGCTATCTATGGGTGAAAAGCAGCGCCTAGGGCGTGGTACTCGAGTTAAGTTCCAAATTAATCACTCTAGGTTTTGTGCCGTCAAAATCAGACATGTCTCTTTTTATATATCATAGGGGTGGTACAACTATTTATATGCTTATCTATGTTGATGATATTATTGTTACAAGCTCATCACCTGAAGCAGTGACAACTCTTCTCGCTGATTTAAAAGAAGACTTCGCACTAAAGGATCTTGGCAAATTACATTACTTCTTGGGTATAGAAGTTAAAGAAGATTTAGATAGCATAACTCTATCTCAAGCTAAGTATGCACAAGACTTGTTGAAGCGTGTTGGAATGCTCGGCTGCAAACCTTGCACGACTCCTTTATCTGCATCTGAGAAGCTGTCGAGCTATGATGGTGTTCCTCTCAGTCCAGAAGATGCTACTCGCTACAGAAGTATAGTTGGTGCTCTTCAGTATTTGACAATTACACGACCAGATTTATCCTTTGCTGTCAACAGAGTATGTCAATTTCTTCATGCACCGACCTCTGTTCATTGGACTGCAGTTAAAAGAATACTTAGATATGTACAACACACCATTGTATTCAGAATGCATATTCAAAAGGTATTGTCGTCATTCATCAGTGCCTTCTCAGATGCGGATTGGGCAGGTGATACAGATGATAGGCGTTCTACTGGAGGCTTCGCAATATTCTATGGAAGTAATCTTATATCATGGAGTGCTAGAAAACAACCAACTGTTTCAAGATCTAGTACAGAAGCAGAATATAAAGCGATGGCTAATGCTACTGCAGAAATAATATGGCTTGAGCAACTGATGACCGAACTTGGGGTTAAAGTGCAGCGCACCTCAATTCTTTGGTGTGATAATCTTGGTGCAACATACTTATCGGCTAATCCCGTGTTTGATGCTAGAGCAAAACATATTGAAATTGATTTTCACTTCGTACGTGAAAGAGTTATGAGAAAACAGCTACAAGTTCGGTTCATCTCTTCTGGAGATCAGTTGGCAGATGGATTTACAAAAGCCTTACCGGTTGCAAAGATGAATACATTTGTTCGCAATCTCAAACTTCAAGGTGGCTAGGAAAGTTTAGATTGAGCGGGGGTGTTAGAGATTGTAAATGTGTTATACTAGAGTTGTAACCGAACATATCTCATAGATAGATGGACTCCTGTAGTTTGCTATAGATAGAATAGAACTTAAGTTAGGAGTCATAGTTTAAACTATCTATATCTGTAATTCTTGTTCTATATATATAAACATGCAACCTATGGTGAGCCAAGATAGGCAACCATAGTTACCCCATAATCTTTCACGATGCACAAGATCAGGAGGATGATTACAATGGTGTGGACAAGGAGGGCTCCCGCGCTGAGATACCGCTGGTCGCTGATGCAATATATCGACACATACAGAAGCATCTGAGCAGCAGGTTCTTGGTGATCTTCAACAACGGGAGTTGCAACGAAATAGACCTTGAAAGCTTCGGCTTCCCTCTGTCAGGATACTCAAGGAACAAAGCGCTGTGGTCATTCCAAGGAGGGTTCCGGCTCTACCCTAGGACGGCTGTCAATAATGCCCTGGAGAGCATGAAGATGACAGATGTTTTTCTCTCAGCAGCCTCTGACCCTGACCCTGCAGTTAGTGGCTTTAACTTGTCCAGCATTTTGCACCATGAGGCTGCAGAAATTGCACGCAAGATCAATATTGGCGGCATCAACTGGCCTGCAGCAGCAACCGATTGCTTCTTGTACATGGTGAAGCTTTGCCGCATGGGCAGTCACTTGATGGACTATGATTTGGCTACCCATAGCTGCAACTATTGGAAATGCGATGACGTCATACAGCTACAACATGGCACTGATGATGATGATGATGATGATGGTAGAGTGTGGCTATCCTATGATGCTCTGCAGCATGAGATGATACTAGATGTGGACTACTACCAAAGCCCATCTTTTCCATCGCCAGTAAGCCGCTTGCCAGAGCAGATATCATACTGGACTTCACCGACCTGTGGGTTCATGCTGATTCCGGATCAGAATGGCCGTATTCCTAAAGGCATGTTCCAACAATATGACACACTTCGTGTGCTCAAGCTATCAGCCTGCATGTTTAGCTGCACATCTCCTCCGTTCCTCTGCTGCCACAGCCTCAGATTTCTCTGGCTTGACCACTGCCGAGAAGAAAGCAGCAGCACAGATGGAGATGGAGTAGCAGGGAATGAGGACATCCCCTCGGTGCTTCCAAGGGCTGTGGGTGCTGGACGTGCGCTACTCAAGCTCAAAGTTGTTGTCCAGCAGGATGATGGATTTCATGGCTCAACTCAGGGAGCTACATGTGATGGGACAACAGTTTGACATGGGCGTGTTGAAGGGGCGGCTGCAAAACATTCGAAAGCTCCGAGTAACAAAGTCTCATGCCACAGCTAGCTACTACACAGACATGGGAGGCTTGTTCTCGGGGAAGGATAAGATGGAGCTTCTTGACTTCTCAGCAAATAGTGGTCACATGACGAGCTTCCCTGCGGTAAGCAGCTGCAACAGCCTTGAGACCGTTATCATTAACGGGTCTACATCTTTAAAAGAGGTATCCCTGAAAGGGTGTGCCACACTGAAGAATCTACTCTTGAGTGGGTTGTTCCAGCAGCTCTACAGCCTAGACATCACTGGCACTGCAGTGAAAACACTGGATCTAAGTGCAGTGGAGGCCCCAATGCTCGATCAGCTCTTCCTACTTGGTTGTGGGAAGCTTTATGCAATCCTATGGCCACCTGAAGGCAAGAGGAAAAGATACATGGGCAAGCTACGCATGGACACCACCCAAAAGGAGGGCAGCAATACTACTGCCACTAAAACAGCAGCTATGAGCGGAGGTGGATCACCGGTTGAATTTGATTGGTATATTTCTGTGAGGGAAGCGAGGATCCTTGGGTCACTTGTGCCCGTCAAAGATTATTTTGGTCCCAATGATGCGCATGTGGTGATTTCAACAACCCCATCCCATACTCACCGTCTCCGTGCTGATGCCGCCGGTGGTAACAAAGGTAACAGAATGAAGGGTAAAGACCATAATTCAATATATGCAGATGTCGCCACCACCCTTAAGGAGGACACCATCATGGATTTACAGGCCGATGGAGGAGATTGTGAAGCTTGGGCGACCATGTGTGCATGTCCTCCTCCCCAATCCGAACCCATACTGCACCATCCATTCAAACCAAAGCTACATCCCAGGACTGCTATATGCGCATAGAAGACAAGATGATGAGAACCGCACTACAAGCTGGAAACCATATTACTGTACCAGGATTTATATGTGATGCTGCTAAGATCCTGCATGTGCAGCATAGCTTGTCCATCACCAGTATCTTTGCAGCTCCGTTAGGATCAAGTTGGAATAAACTGGAGTGGTGTCGAGTCGAGCGGTGCCCTGAGTTGGAGTGTGTCTTTAGTCCTCAAGTAGGTGCAGTACCAGATGGAAGTAGCAGTCACATGGACATATTCAAGAAGCTCAAGATAATCTGGGCGTCACATCTCCGCAACACACGCTGTGTCCTGGAGCGTCCTAGCTTAGAAGGACCCAGGTATAGAGCATTTGCAGACCTGACATTATTGCACCTTTACCGCTGCCCCAGGCTGCTATATGCTGTACCCTTGCAACTCGAAACGATGTCCTTGGAAAATTTGGAGACCCTCGAGATCATGTGGTGTGGCGATCTCAGTGTGGTCTTTCACTTGTTTGAGGAAACCAGCGACCGTGGGATGTACCAATGTAGCTGGAATTTTCCCAACCTGAAGGTCATTCACCTGCATGAGCTTCCAAGGCTGCGGGGCATCTTCAATGTCCCCTGGTATGGCGTGAATGCCCCAAAGTTTGAGACTGTCAGGATCAGGGGCTGCTGGAGCCTCTGGACGTTACCACCTTTCTGTAGGATGGTGAAGTGCGACTGCGAGAAGGAGTGGTGGGATAGGATGAAGGAAAGTCGTCGCAAGGTGCTGACGCACTACCACAAGCCGACCCACTCACGGTATTACAAGAAGACCATGCTGAGGGGATCCCTCCTCAGGTAAATATAGCCCTTCTCGGCTAGCCCACTACCTTTATATATGTATAAATCGGTGTTGGAATCAGTTGTCGGTTATTAGTACAGACATTCCTCGTTCTGGTCCATTCCTTCACTTTGACTTCCCTGTTCCTTCCTATATGCGTGATGTTTACATACACAAGGAGCAGTGGCGCACACACATTTCGTTCAGCGTTTAAATTATGTATTTCTAAACTAGTTTTGACCGAGGAACAGGAAAATTATACATAGGCTGGCTGTGTCACGCAATATATATATAATTGTATATAGGCATATAGTAGTAGTGGAACCATCAGAGTTGTTCTTCCATGCACATTATATTCTGGTTGTGCTTGTTTTTCTTCAACCAATCCTCAATTCGCAAAGCTCAACAAAAATAGACCAGATAGGACCAGTCGCATGCATTTGGCTAATTCTCTTGATCTCCTCTCCTCTCGTGCAGGTAAGGCGCTCAACCCTTCCCGGACGCCCTTGGAGTTGCTGAGGCTGTCCGTCGCTTGCCTCTGGTGTCTCTGCATCTCTCCGTATCTGCCCGCTCCTTCATTCGCTTCCACTAATCCACTAGCTTGGTTTATGCATCTCTGTGTGATCTCCAGCCTCCGCATCGATTTGCAATGGTTTGGCCGTGCTTCATCCGCTAGTTGGTCTTGGTTTGCTCCGATTTGTTTGATTTGGTTTGTTTGGTCCAGCAGCGCCGATTCGTTCAGCGTATGATGTGTGAAGTTGAGAATGAGAAATAAAGAAGTGAGCTGAATTCCATTCAGCTTAGAAACTCCTGCTGCAGCAGCAGCTACGGCTTGAGCTTGAGCCTGCCCGCCTTGCCTCATGCATGCTAGCTGCTGCTGTGCACCAGCCTTATCTCGTGTGCTGTGTCCTGCGTGTGTTTTTTTTTCAGTTGTGTGGGGTCTCATTGTGGTCATCCAGTGTGTGGATTATATTTGATCACTCTTATTGTTACTCATCTTGTATGTCTTTAAATAAATGGATGATCTGTGGTTTGTTTGTGCAACAGTCATGGGCACATATATGGGAAAGCCCCTTCCTTATTTGGCATGCATAGATACAGATGTGTGCTCACTACCAGAAATAAGTGGCATGGTGGCCTACCATTTCCCTAGCGGCACGCACTAGCCGATGGGATTGCTTTCATAACATTGAGACAAACTATATATTATACATGGGTAAAAGATATAGCACACTAAACAAGGGATTCAAATCTGACAGGCAAAAAGGAAACAGGAAAAAAAAAGTTATTGCTTTCTTAAAAGCTGAGAGGAAACTCTTTTTAAAAAAACAGATATTTCAGTTCCAAAGTGCTGTTCTTTCAATTTTTCAGATGAGGATACCGTAACCAGCCAACAACCTTCCCAGTTCCCAACACTGAACGGTCATACAAGTATTCAACTTTGTTGTGTTGTTTTGTGTTGCACATTTCATACCAATATGGACATAGCTCTCCCCCACGCCCCCGTGTTGCCCAAGCCGGGCGGCTCGACCCCTTCACCCCAGCCTCCCTGCAGCACCGATCTCGCCCTCGCCACTGCTGGAGCTGCAGGCCGGATGCCCAGCAAGCAGCAAGGAGGGCGGCAGCGGGGCCATCCCACCCCTCTCCTTCCTCCCCCTCTCTCTTGCTTCGTGGTCGTCATCCGGCCGACATCTCGATATGCGTGGTGGATCCACACGGGGCGGCCAGATCCACGGGATTGGCGACCGGATTTTTTTTCAGTTGTGTGGGGTCTCATTGTGGTCATCCAGTGTGTGGATTATATTTGATCACTCTTATTGTTACTCATCTTGTATGTCTTTAAATAAATAGATGATCTGTGGTTTGTTTGTGCAACAGTCATGGGCACATCTTTACATATGAATCCTGCACCCAAAAGCTGGCCGGCCAGCGTGCAACGTTGCCTGCTGTTCCCGGCCGTTCGATCGGGCGCGCGGACAGCCCAGATCGGGCGAGCCGCGAGGTTTTGCAAAAAAACTCTTGAACTTTAGTCAAATCAACCCACAGTCCAGGTCTCCTCTCAATTTTTTTTTCCAAAAAAAAGGCGTCGAACTTTACCAAAATTAGGCCTGTAGACCACGGCGACGGGCGCGACCGGGGTGCGGCGGCGTCGGCCGCCCTCCTTCTCCTGCGCCTCCTCCTCCTGCACCGCTGCTCTCCCTCGCCTGCCTCTCACCTCCATCTCGCCCTCCCCTTCCTCTCTCTCTCTCTCTCTCTCTCCAGAGGCACCGCCCGCTCCGTGATCCCTCGCCGCAAGCGGCGCAGCCCCACGAGAGCAGCTGCTCGTGGAGCCGCGCTCCACCGAGGTCCCATCGAGCTCGCGCCGCCGGAGTCGCGTGCGCTTGGGGGACGGCCGCGCATGCGCCGCCCGCGCCATGGCCGCCCGCCGAGGGCCCACCGAGCTTGGGTCACTAGAGTCGCGTGTTCCCGGGTCCGGCCGCGCACGCGCCGTGGAGGCGGTCTAAACCGGTGCCGGTGGCCGAGAGCACCTCGCCCTGCCACCTCGACCTCTCGGCCGAGCTGGTCGGTGGCGTACCCGCGACGTGCGGCACCGGCGGGGCCCCGGGTGAAACAGCGCTGAGCTCATCCCCTCCTCGCAAGTTCGAGAAGGTGCCGGTCCCTGCTTTGCAACCACAGGCGGCCGCCCCGCCCTCTCCTCCCAGCCGCGCCGAAGAAGTCGACAGATCCCGGGAGCTGGCCGCGCACGTGCCCTGGAGCCGAGGGCCGAGCACTCGCCTGCTTGGGACACCGTGGGAGAGGAGCCGCCGAGGCTCCCGCGCCAGAGCCCCCCACACGCGCTGTGGTGGCCGGAGCCACCGTGCCCGCGCCCCTCGCCCGCTGCGAGGTGGCCGAGGCGGCCACGCCCGCGCCATGGTGGCCGAGACCGCTGCGCCATGCACTCGCGCCGGGTTGTACTCATGTGTGTCAAGGAACAGAGCGCAACGATGGGGGCTCCATTGGGCTGGCAAGCCGGTGGAGCAAGACTGCGACGAAGCCCATCTAGCAGCCGTCGACCATCAACCGCAGTTGTAAGCTCCCCCAAGGTTCGTCTTTGCCACTGCTGCTCCTTTGGTTCTACTGCTCTGGCCTATAAAATGATTGCTTGCAAGTGTTTGATAAAATGCCAACCATGACTCTGGAACCAAATTCAGTGTGATCTTGGCAATTTGAGTTCACTCACACTCGCTTTAGAGTTTAGACTAGCAGCAATATTTGTTTGCTTGCTCACTAATAATCAGTATGATTTTTTAATCCTCTTCTTTTTTTATAAACTGGTGAATTTTGGTCTGAAAACATATGAATCGACAATTGGTTTGCTTCCTTGCTCATAAGCCAATGTATTAATATCCAAAACAATTTGTTACTCCGTGGTTAATTCTCAAGTTTCCAGACATGTAGCCTTCATTTAAATGGATTGTTTCCCATTAAACTTTTTACTCTATATTTTCCCAAATCCCAGGATTGTATTATTTGAAGGATTATAATGAACAGCAGACATGTTCCGCACAGGATGCATGCACCTGCATATCAGATTTTAGGGAAAAAAATTCCGAGAGAACTTTATGAAACGACACATTACTTACAGAGAAGATGACTTGCAACAGCAATAATCTTTGTTGAATAGCGTTGCTTCAGTGAACAGCTTGCCTTCGAGGCGTTCTTTCAGGATTATTTCTGTTATTGCCCTTATTGTCAAAATAGCTTGTACAGTTGAGTTCTTACATAGACCACACGATCTGTGGCTTTACAAGTTATGAACACAGTCATAACTGCTGGTTATACTAGCCCAATCTAGAATAGGTGCTCCAAGGAGGGCACCTATTATAAAGGAGCGAAGCGATTGCCTATTATACTAGCAATCACTGATAACCCATGGACATCACACAGATCTGAACGTAGGGGCTAGCCATTGATCGGATTCGGGCGGAGAAGCGTCACAGCTAGTTGCTGAAATTGAGCATGGGGTATTGCTTGCAGGTGGGAGCACATGGGAGGCGTCGACGGTGGCAAAAGGCACTCGTGCGACTGGAGCAATGCCTGCATGCCGTGCGCCAATGGACCAAACACAGCGGGGCCAGATGGACGTCTCACGCATGGAGGAGGCACACTGTTGTCTCTCCACCACCACTGCCGGGCCGCAGCAACATGCTGCTGGCTAGCCACATCGCATAGGGATGCACCAACAGGCCTGGGCTACAACTACAAGCAAAGCCAGTGATCAAATCAGGAGTGTAAGTACTTTCACACTTACATGAATCTAAAAAATTGAACCTTGGTGTTGGCTCGAAAGCTAGGAGATGTATCTTCCTGATTGGAATCCATGAGTATAGTTGATGTTGCTTAGCTGACAAAATGCTTCTTCCCTTAGTGTTAAAATTATCGAAGTAGGGGAAACATCTCGCAAGGTATATAAAATGATTTTACCTGATCCAACATCCATTTCAATTCATCTTTAATATTTGTGTCTCTGAAATCATTTGTAAACTAAACATGTTAACTTGCAATCTCAATTTGTCAATCTGATATTTTGGATCTTTATTCCTAAAGTTTGACTATCTACCGTGGTAGATAGTGAGTTGAATAGAGTGTGAGTAATGTTCTTAGCAATAACAGGTAAGCATTTTTTTATTTACCAGTTATAAAATCTCAAGTCCAATTCCTGCAATTCATACTTGGTTTCGTACTATGGTTTGATTTGTAATGACCTTCAAAGTGGGCACTGCTGAAATATCTACATAATGTTTAACCTATTTTCAAGTTGCAGAATTCAATACCTCAATACTATAACATTGATCGTATACTGCATTCCGGCTTAGTTTAATCAAGTTTATAGACCATTTACTAATTTAATACATTTGAGGGGCAAAGTATATTAAGTATTAACTGAAAGTTCTAACTGGAAATTCCAACGCTGCTGGCCAACAACTCCTTGCTTCTACTTTACTACGATCAAGTAGATTAATTAGGAGCTCAATCAAAAGATTTTGATCAATAAGGCTCCTCAACAGAATAATATTTCACTGTACAACATAATGCTTCCATCCTTCTATCAAACCTTGATATATGGAATGGCAATCACCAGTGTGTTGTACCCAGCAATCAAAACCTCGTCTCTATTCTTATTGCCACTGGCCCAATCGGAAGGGAAGGCGCGGCAAAGCCGCGCCCACGTTTCTAGTATATGGGAAAGCGCCTTCCTTATTTGGCATGCATAGATACAGATGTGTGCTCACTACCAGAAATAAGTGGCATGGTGGCCTACCATTTCCCTAGCGGCACGCACTAGCCGATGGGTTTGCTTTCATAACATTGAGATAAACTATATATTATACATGGGTAAAAGATATAGCACACTAAACAAGGGATTCAAACCTGACAGGCAAAAAGGAAACAGGAAAAAAAAGTTATTGCTTTCTTAAAAGCTGAGAGGAAACTCTTTAAAAAAAACAGATATTTCAGTTCCAAAGTGCTGTTCTTTCAATTTTTCAGATGAGGGTACTGTAACCAGCCAACAACCTTCCCAGTTTCCAACACTGAATGGTCATACAAGTATTCAACTTTGTTGTGTTGTTTTGTGTTGAACATTTCATACCAATATGGACATAGCTCTCCCCCACGCCCCTGCGTTGCCCAAGCCGGGCGGCTCGACCCACTCACCCTAGCCTCCCCGCAGCACCGATCTCGCCCTTGCCACTGCCGGAGATGCAGGCCGGATGCCTAGGAAGCAGCAAGGAGGGCGGCAGCGGGGCCATCCCGCCCCTCTCCTTCCTCCCCCTCTCTCTTGCTTCGTGGTTGTCATCCGGCCGACGTCTTGATATGCGTGGTGGATCCCCACGGGGGCGGCCAAATCCACGGGACTGGCGACTGGAGCCGAGTAGAGGATGTTGGGACTGCTTTGGTGTTCATTTGGGCATGCTCCCTATCGGTTAGCGGGCCCTACCATTTGTCGGCGGGCTCCTGTGGCAGGGGTGCGGGTGATGGCTGGTTGGACGGTTGGGGCTTCTTCCTGCCGCCATCTTCCATCTCCATTGCTCTGGCCGGTTCCGTGGTGGAGTTGGTTGGATTTGCTTGCTGCTGGCCGGCTTTGGCCAGATCTGACGGTGGGCAGCCTCTCCAGAGGGCTTCTTGTGGCGCTTCTCCTAGCCGGCGTGTGGCTGATGCTGCACATCGACCTTCTTCAAGGCGACAGCCAGACTTTTCGTGCGGCAACTCCCCGCGGTGGCGGCCGGGCCTTCATTGCGGCTCCTCAAGGCAGCTTAGGTCATCATGGCAGCTCACCGGCTCCTCAGAGGCAGGCGGCTCCCTTGGCTCTCCGCGTCCTTCCTTGATGGGTCGGGGGCATCTTCTTGTGGTTGTGCATGCGGTGAGGACGCTCGCGGTGCGCACGGTGGCATCAGGTATCGGCTGGGATCTTTGGTGTATCATCACCGGAGCCTTTCTAAGGGACAGGCCCCCCACTAAGTGGGCAATGGCAAGCCACGGTGGGTGGCTGTGAGAGATCAAGGTGAAAGCCTAGATAGCGCCGTCTGCAAACGCCGCTGCTTCATCCTTGAGGCGCCCTTCTTCGCACCACTTCTCTCCTGCCCGGCTAGGATTTGTGGGTGAAAACCTTCTCATGGTGGGCTTGCAACGTCAGCGTCTTTGGCGTCATTTCCTTCCTGAAGGTGTCACGCGGCATTTTCGAGCTCCGGTCCGCTGTTTCGCTCTTGCCTTGTAGCCATGGTGGTGCTCCATGCTGCTTAGTGGTGCTTGGCATCGTGTCGAGTTTGTTATTTGTGTTTTGGGTTGGTTGCCAGAGTTAGTTGTTTTGCTAGTTGGTTTAAGGGTTGTGGTGCCCTGAGTTGCTTTGGTTGTTAGCCAACTCTCGGTGCTGTTAGATTTATAGATGTACTTTGTATTTTCCCTCTACTTGGAGGGGTCCTTTGCATATTTACACACATGTATAGTTGCCCCTTTCGGCCTAGAATAGATCAGTTGGCCAATTCTAACATGGTATCGAGCTAGGGTTCTAGGTTTCACCTCAGCCACCGGCTGACCCGCGCCGCCTCACGCGGCCCTGCGCGGCCGTCCGCGCTCGCTTCGCGCGCGGGCCTTGCGTGGCCCCACGTGGCCGCCCGCGCGCCCGCCCCGCGTGGCTCCACGCCGCCTCACGCCTGCCCCGCGTGGCTCGCACGGCCCCACGCCGTCTCGCACCTGCCCCGTATGGCTCCTCACCGCCTTGCGCGCAGCCACCCGAGCACGCACACCCTCGCGCGGCCGCTGCTCCCTCCTCTGCATGCTCGGCTGCTCGCCCCCCTCTCCTCTCTATTTTGGCCCGCCCGCCTCCTAGCCAGTGTTGCTCCCTCCTCCTCTGTTTCTGGTGTTGCTCCCTCCTCTATTTCCTTTTTTTCCTTCCACAAACTCCTTCCAAAAAAACAAAAAAATACAGCGAGCTCTCTTCTTCCATGGCATCCCTCGGGCACCCTGGTGCTATTCTTGTCCCTCGGTGCCTTGTCATTTTCAATGGCACAAATTGGGGTGACTTTGTTTTCCATTTGGAGGTCAACATGGATGGGCAGCTATTTTGGGGCAACCTCACGGGTGAGCGGATCTGTCCTCCCTATCCTGTTCTCCCCATGCCGCCCACATACCCCTTGAGATGTGATGATGATGCCAAGGCGCTTTACTTGAGGCATTTGAGGCTCGGATGGAGAGCTACCAGTCTGATCTTGGTGTCTATGAGACTTGGCTATGCGAGGAGAAATCTGCTAAGGCTATCTTACTTCTGAGCATGGAGGTTGATCTCACACGGTCCCTCAGAGGTCTTCCCACTTCATACCTTATGTGGGATCACCTCTGTCGCAGTTACAAGATCCGTAACGAAGCGATGTAC